CACTGTGAGTTGGAACAATATTAGTGTGCACAGTGGGGGTTGTGACAACCCTGTCCTCTCCCCTTGCTGTCCCCATGAAAGGTCTCCAACCCTCTCAGCCACAACTCCCCTTAGCCTCCCTTGGCTGAAAGAACAGCTCTTCCTGGTGTGAGAGGGTGGGGGCTCAGTCGCTGACCCTCCTCAAATAGCAAAGGCAACCTGTGTGAAACATCCCTGTGAAGGTCGTTATTGAATCACAGAATTGCAGAGTTGGAAGGAAAAGAGTTCAATGCACACCAACACAATGATCTCCTCAAATGTGTCCTCTCCCGGGGTTGCTGTTTGCATAAAGAAGAAGAAAAAGGAACCACATTAGAAAAAAAGTGTGTGTGGCAGCCAAGCCCCACTCAAATTCCCCCAAGTGCATACATGAAATGCTCAGAAGTCTCTCCTACTATCATAGAATAGAAATGTAGCGCTGGGAGGGACTGAAGGGGTCATCTAGTCCAACCCTCTGCAAAACAGACCCTCTGTGTGCAATTTGAATTCTGACAACAGCAGCTCTTCTGCCTCCCAGTTGGAGTCACTGGTTTGGGTTTTCTGAACCACCACCAACACCCATTTTAAGAGTTTTTCCTCTTCTCACAGGGGGCGGGTAACTCTGCAGATCTCCGGTGGAGGACCTCTGGTGAAAGGAAGACCACCCTGCTCTCCTCTGATGTGCAGCTGCCTCGACTGCACCCCCATCTCTGCTGGGGAAGAAACCGCTTTGCTTGATGCTGCTGAAGGCGATGCTGGGAAGGAGTCAAGAGGGAGCCATCCTGTCTGCCTGTCTACTCATGAGTAAGCCCCTCTGTGGCCAGTGGGGTCTGACTCCTTAGTAAGTGGGCTCAGGATTGGAGCTTGGATTTGGTTTGCCTGCAAAAATGCTTTAGCTTCTTCTTTTTAATAAATGCAAGCATTGGAAACCTTTGTGTTGGTTCATGTTGTGAAAACGTTTGCTGGGATGAGGGGATATTTTTCTCAGCCTCACTCACCTCACAGAGTGTTTGTTGTGCGGCAGGAAGGGAAAGGAGATTGTTAGCTTCTTTGAGGCTCATTAAGGGGAGTGAAAGGTGGGATATCAAGTCCAAGCTGTTCTTTATCTGAGGACCACAGCTCAGTTAAAAATTCAAAAACTGCAAAATACATATCATATTAACAAACCAAACAAGAACACCCCACACATGTAAAAGACCATAGATTTTTTCATTAGCACAAGGCCTGGGAGAAGAGCAATTTGCCTGGCACCTAAGGGAGCAGAATGAGACTCCCAGGGAAGAGTATTCCACAAACAGGGAGCCACCACAGAAAAAACCTCTTCTTGCAGTGCTGCCCCATAGACCTCTTGAGAAGGGGGCACATGAAGAAGGGCTTCTGATGACGATCTCAGGGTCCAGGTCAGTTCATATGGGGAGGCCGTCCTTGAGATTCTGTGGTCCTGAGCCCATGTGGAGTGTGAGAGCGGAGTTGGAAGCAGCCTGGAAGCTGGAGACACAGATTCCTGTTTCCTGTGTAGGGGATCCAAAGCTGTGAGGAACTGAGGAGGATGATTTGGGGAGTGTTAATGCTGTGACCCCATCCATTTTATGCTCATGCTCTCTCTATATGTTAAAAACAAACCCATATCTCCTAAAGACACCAAAGTCTCCGCTCACCTTCAAAAAACTCAAACTCTGGGCAAACACTGAAACTCCTGGGTTTTCTCCATGCTCAGCAATTTGGGTGCAGTGTAACAATAGTTTCAAGGAACCTGAAATGTTCTTTTTTGCCCCTTTTCTCCAGCTCCATCCCTGAATCTGTTTGCATGGAAAGGGGTGTCTTTGACCTTGCAGCTCCCCACTCCCACCCACTGTCCCCCCAATATCACCTTCTGATCTGGGCTCATTCCCAAGTTCACTGTGCGAAATCTGGCAGTTGCTTTGCACAACTTTGCTGCCTGTGGGCATCCAATGGAGCAAAGCTTGTCCGTTAACTTGAAGCAAGTCCAGGTGGGGAAATGGGGCTTAGCCCTGTGACCACAGGTTCCCCACCTTGCCTGCTGGGTTTGAACTTCAGGCTCTTGGGAAAGGAGGCTGAAAACATCTCATGGGGCCCGTCTCTGTGGAGATTGCAAAGACCAGCAACTGCCTCCTAAATATCACTGGGCAGGACACAGCTCAGACCAACATCTCACAGCAAGCACCAATCCTTCTCTCCTCCCCAAAATAAGATATAAAATATCTCTTTGTTGTCCCCTTCCTCCTGTTCCTGGGAGCCAATGTGGGGACTTCCCAGTGTTGAGGGGGACCTCCGGCTCCCCCTGCCCCACAAGCCAGAAGGGCCACCGACCAGGAATAATGGGAGATGCAGTCTGCAAATATCTGACAGTCTCAGCACTAGCTGCCCCTCGAGTATAGTGGGGAGGGAACAGCAAGGAATGGTCAGCCCCCAGAAAAGAGCATGAAGGGGAAGGGGAGACATCTCAAGATTCTGGATATGGATTTGTGGAGGAGCTTGTGGCCTTTCCTTCACTGGAGCTGGGGTGGGATGGCCATCTGTCATTGATGCTTTAGTTGAGTTTCCTGCTTTGAAGGGGCTTGAACTGGATGACCCTCAGGGTCCCTCCTCACTCTACAATTTTATGATTTATCCCTGACTGTAGGAGGGCCTCAGATGATGATCTCAGGATCCAGTTTGGTACATATGGGGAGAGGTGGCATTGGAGGTAAAGAGGTCCTGAGCCAGTTTGAGTGTTTTGCAGGAAGCAGGTTGGAAGCTAGAGGCACAGAGATGGGCTTGCTGTGTACCAAATCCAAAGCTCTGACTGAGAAGGAGGGTTTTTTTGAGGGGTGTGTGTTAATGCTTTGAAGCCCTGCATTTTATGCTCAAGCTGTCTATATGTGTAAATAAACTGAATTCTGGGCAAGCACAGAAATGCGTGGATTTTCCCCCAACTCAGAGATTTGGCTGCTGCGTAACCATAGTTTCAAGGAACCTGAAATGTGCTTTTTTGCACCTTTTCTCCATCCCTCAGTCTGTTTGCATGTCTTTGGCATCGCTGCTCCCCAATCCCATGCACTGTCCCCCAATATGACCTTCTGATCTTGGGTCATTCCCAATTTCACTGGGCTGCATCTGGCAGTTGCTTCACTCAACTTTGCTGCCTGTGGGCATCCGATGGAGCAACGCTTGTCCGTTAACTTGAAGCAAGACCAGGTGGGGAAATGGGACGTAGCCCTGTGACCGCAGGTTCCCCACCTTGCCTGCTGGGTTTGAACTTCAGGCTCTTGGGAAAGGATGCTGAAAACATCTCCTGGGGCCCATCTCTGTGGAGATTGCAAAAGACCAGCAACTGCCTGCTAAATGTTACAGGCACAGCCCAGACCTTCAGCTCACGACTGGCACTGATACTTCTCCCCTTTCTCCAAAATTAAATAAAAAAGCCTTGTCCTCGCTTTGGGTGCCCACTTTTTTTAATTCCCCCCATATATTTACAACAATGCACAGAATTGTTCACAACCAGAGTTACCACTGTATGCTACAACTGCGGCTAGGATATTGCTAGCACAAAGATGCTATCCTTCTCCGTAGTGGCACCCGCCCTGTGGAACGCCCTCCCACCAGATGTCAAAGAGATGAACAACTACCTGACATTTAGAAGACATCTGAAGGCAGCCCTGTTCAGGGAAGTTTTTAATGTGTGACATTTTTATGTATTTTTAATCTTTGTTGGAAGCCCAGCAAGGGGCAGGGTACAAATAATAAATTGTTGTTGTTGTTGTTATATTATTATTATTATTATTATTATTATTATTATTATTATTATTTTATTGCTATTATTATTATTATTATTATTAGGCTTTGGTCATCTATGGACACCCCCTTCCTAAAGAAAACAGGGAAGTTGAGTCTGGAGTTCTCCAGACAATGTTACACTCAGGGAGGAATCTCAACACTTGAAAGGTTGGAGGGGCATGGAGAAAGAAGAAGGGGGCGATGAGGGAGAAGTAGGGATGGAGAGCCTTGTTGACAGGACCGGCCCAAGACATTTGAGTACCTGAGGCAAACCACAAAATGGTGTTTTCCAACCCCCACCCACCCCCTACTGAGGGAAGAAGGGGTGAGTTAAAATCTACATTAGGAGCAAGTGGGAGTTCCGGAATCTTCGGGGCAGTTGGAAACTATGATTTTGCAAATCTGACAGTTGGGCAAGAACACATAATACAGCGGAACCTCGACTTATAAAGGCCTCAGGTTACAAACTCTGCTAACCTGGAAGAATTACCTCAAGCTGAGAACTTTGCCCCAGGATGAGAACGGAAATGGTGTGCTGGCGGCGCAGCAGCAGCAAGAGGCCCCATTAGCGAAAGCACGCCTCTAGTTAAGAACAGTTTCTGGTTAAGAACGGACCTCCAGAACGAATTAAGTTCATAACTAGAGGTACCACTGTAATAATACTAGTAACATGATTGAGGGAGTTGGGGAGAGAGAGAGAGAAGAAATGATAGCCATATCTCTAAGTCTGTCACATAGAGGATGGAGCTAGTTTGTTTTCTCCCTGCTCCAGAGGGGAGGATCCCAAACAAGAGATTCAAATGGCAAGAAAGAAGATTCCAACTAAACATTAGGAATATCTGAGTTGTTCCACAGTGGAACGGACCCCTTCAGAAGATGATGGGCTCTCTCCATCGCAGGAGGATCTGAAGCAGAGGTTGGATGGGCACCAGTCAGAGATTCCTGCATTGCAGGGGTTGGACTAGCTGACTCTTGGGGTACCTTCCAACGCTGAAACTATATGAGTCTATGATTCTGTGGTCTTTGGCTGGTCCTTGGCACATGCCCCTCAGAGCTTGCCACATCCATCCTGCAAACGACAGTTGGCATCCCACAAGATTTCATCAGTCCTCCAGCAACCTATAAGTAGGGGGACTTCTCTTCCCCAGTCAATTGCACCTCCATTTGGCTTCTGGTACCTCCAGGATTCCCACCAACCTCCAGCCATGAAGATCTTCTGCCTCCTCTCTGTTGCCGTCCTCCTCTTGATGCTGCTGGCTCCAGGTATGGCCTTCTTCTCAGATGCTTCTTCTCTGAGCAGCTCCACAGCTCTCAACTTTATTCATTTTAAACCTGCCTCTGAATATCTAGCTTCAGGGAACCCCAAAGGGATGGGTGGAGAATTCCTTTGCCCCTCTGTCCTCCTTGAGAACTTCCCAAATGGGGCATCTGGTCGGCCACTTGAAGAGCAATGTGTTTCCTTTGGCTCGATCCAGAAATCAGGCTCTTTCTATGATCTCACTGTAATACTAATCTTGCAACATGAAATATCATCCATAGGAATTGCTTTAAGATGTTTAATACAGTGGTACCTCAGGTTACATACGCTTCAGGTTACATACGCTTCAGGTTAAAGACTCCGCTAACCCAGAAATAGTGCTTCAGGTTAAGAACTTTGCTTCAGGATGAGAACAGAAATTGGGCTCCGGCGGTGTGGCAGCAGCAGGAGGCCCCATTAACTAAAGTGGTGCTTCAGGTTAAGAACAGTTTCAGGTTAAATACGGACCTCCGGAAGGAATTAAGTACTTAACAAAGGGAAGCCAGTCTCCCCCAATAAATTTTTATTATTTTCTTAACACAGTCTTATACAATACATCAAACCACATATATACTTTTAGCTCTGCCAAGCTTGCAACTTCCCTCCTTCCCTTCAACAGGTATCCCTTATTCTCTTAAATCACATATTTTAGTATTCAACCTCTTATCTGTCTTTACATTGTAGAAGTTATTTCAGTCCTGCCAGTGTTTTTAAGGTTTTACAATTATCCTTTAGTTACACAGTGAATTTACTCCAACTTTCCTGGAATCTCTGATCATCCTGATCCTGAATTCTGCCAGTCAGCTTGGCTATCTCCGCATAGTTCATCATTTTCATCTGCCACTCCGCATTAGTAGGGATTTCTTGTAGCCAGTCTCTCTGACGCAGCCTTACTGACCGCCTTGGCTCAGCTCTTTTGCTGAAGGTGCAGGCAGGAGGGGAAGGGTCTCTCTCTCCACCCCAGACCCTTTCCCTGCATTCATCCTGCACCAGTCTCCCCCAATGTGGCCCCTCCAGGTTTCTTGCCTAGCAAGGTTATCAGGGAAGAAGAAGTGAAGGTGCAGAAGGTCAGTTCTGGGGGTACAGGGCAGGCTTCAAATGGTTCTTTCTCCTCCCCCAGATTTCACCGGAGCCCAAAATCTCGATGAGAAATGTCGCCATCTCAGGGGAAGCTGCCACTATCTTAGGTGCTGGAAAGGCAAAAGACAGATTGGTAGATGCACAGGACTCAAAGTTTGCTGTCGTTAAGGTGAGTTAGATCAAGTTATAACTGTGTCTCAAAGAGAGACACAGCCCCCAGTCACAACTCCTCTTAGCCTGGAAAGGAAACCCATCCTTTGCAACGGCTGGAAGGTAAGGGGTTAAGTGTTCTGCTCAAATTTGTCCTCTCCTGGGGCTGCTGCCAGTTAAAATAGAATTAAATGAACCAGATTAGATCAAATCTATGCTTCCAGGTGCCATAAGAAAGCGACAGAGATAGCACAGGATATTGCGCACCCCGGAAATGATCTCTTTCAGCTTCTGCCTTCTGGAAGAAGGTACAGGGTTATAAAGACCAGGACTAGCCGCCTGAGAAACAGTTTCTACGCAAATGCAATTCTGGTTCTAAACACAACATAAGGAGTCTCTATAGTATATTGTATTTTAAAATGGGGTTTCAGAGTTTTTAGGGGGTTTTGAATGTTTTATGTAGATTTTCAATTTCATTTTTCCGTATGGGACAATGGCAAAAAATATATTGTATCGTAAAAGTGTTGATGAGATTGCAAAGGCCAAAGTGCACAGCCTAGATGCTCAGAGGTCTGCCTTAGAATCGTAGCATAGAATTGTAGACTTGGAGGGGACCCAAGGAGTTCATACAGTCCAACCCCATGCAATGCAATTCAGGCCTTCTGCTAAAGATTGGAGCTGAGGGTGTCAGGGGGAGTGGGGGTGCTACCACAACAATTCAACCTGAACTGCTTCAGAAATCTGAACATGGCTCATCACACATTGAGACTGAGTCTGAATAATAATAATAATAATAATAATAATAATAATAATAATAATTTATTATTTATACCCCGCCCATCTGGCTGGGTTTCCCCAGCCACTCTGGGCGGCTTCCAACAAAACACTAAAAGACAATAACCTATTAAACATTAAAAGCTTCCCTAAACAGGGCTGCCTTCAGATGTCTTCTAAAAGTCTGGTAGTTATTTTTCTCTTTGACATCTGGTGGGAGGGCGTTCCACAGGGCGGGTGCCACCACCGAGAAGGCCCTCTGCCTGGTTCCCTGTAACTTGGCTTCTCGCAGTGAGGGAACCGCCAGAAGGCCCTCGGAGCTGGACCTCAGTGTCCAGGCAGAATGATGGAGGTGGAGATGTTCCTTCAGTTATACTGGGTCAAGGCCGTTTAGGGCTTTAAAGGTCAGCACCAACACTTTGAATTGTGCTCGGAAACGTACTGGGAGCCAGTGTAGGTCTTTCAAGACCGGTGTTATATGGTCTCAGCGGCCGCTCCCAGTCACCAGTCTAGCTGCCGCATTCTAGATTAGTTGTAGTTTCCGGGTCACCTTCAAAGGTAGCCCCACGTGGAGCGCATGGCAGTAGTCCAAGCAGGAGATAACCAGAGCATGCACCACTCTGGTGAGACAGTCTGTGGGCAGGTAGGGTCTCATCCTGCGTGCCAGATGGAGCTGGTAGACAGCTGCCCTAGACACAGAACTGACCTGCGCCTCCATGGACAGCTGTGAGTCCAAAATGACTCCCAGGCTACGCACCTGGTCCTTCAGTGGCACAGTTACCCCATGCAGGACCAGGGAGTCCTTCACACCAGCCTGCCCCCTGTCCCCCAAGAACAGTACTTCTGTCTTGTCAGGATTCAACCTCAATACCTACCTGCTCTAGTTCCTCTATTACAGAAACATAGAATCATAGATTTGCAGAGTTGGAGGAGGGGACTCCAAGGATCCTCTAGTCAACACCCTGCAATGCAGGGATCTCAGCATTCCTGACAGGTGGCCCTCCAAGGAAAGAGAGTCCACCACCTCCTGATGGAGACCGTTCCTCTATCTATCAGCTCTTACCATCAGAAATTCCTTCCAGAGGTTTAGTAGGAATCTCCTTCCGGAGCCTTTCATTGAGTCCTCCAATGTACTGCCTTCTGTCCGTCCCTTCCCACACAATGTCTCCATCATAAGGTCTCAATCCCATCTCATGCTGCCAGCATTCAAAGTATTAGCCATTAGTCACTAACCAGATCCTGAAAACTATTGCATGTCTGTTAGATTCTCTCCACCTGCTCAGTTCCATGTTCCAGGTCATGGTTTTGAGAATGCCCCTGCCCTTGTAGTACTTTCTCTCCAGGAGCTGAGAAAAGAGAACTCAAAAGCAAGCAGACCAAGCTTTGGCAGCCCTTAAGATTAAGAGTCTCATGTTCTACCAACTGAGGACTACAACTCCCAGCAGCCCCAGGCTACAAGGTCATGTGATGATCATAGCTGTCAACCTTCCCTTTTTTTGCGGGAAATTTCCTTATTCCCACTGCTTCCTGCTGCTATCCCAGATTCATAGATATCCCGTAGACTGCCCACGGGACAGGTGAGGCTGCTGATCCCTTATTTTCAAATCTGAAAGTTGACAGCTATGGTGATGAGGGGTGTAGATAGGAGGGCTTGAGGTCAGGATGGAGACACCCCCCAAAACACCCCACCCACATTTAGCCGGAGGTCTGCAACAAACCCTCTGTGTCACTGGTTTGGGTTCTGATACGGAAGGGGGGGGGCATGTCTTCTTCTTCACCTTCTTCGCTACAATATATCCATTTATTTCCAATTGCCAATGTCAAAAGGGACTAAAATCTATAAAATTCATAGAAAATCAACTTGCCAATTTCCTCAATTTCTCTAGGACTCCATGACACCTCCCCTGTCCTCCATAATCCCTCAAGCAAGGTGTCAAGACCCTAATCCTGTCAAATCGCTCTGCCAAGCCCTTCCTCCGGGCGATGCCAGGTGACAGACTATGCATACATGGACCATTGTCTTCTCAGAATGTGCTTATCTGCGCATATCTCCAGCTCTGCATATTCCCCCCTCCCTCCTCCATATGTTAATCCGGTGTAACCCAACCTCTTCCTAATGTATTCGTGATGTAATCTGTGTAACCCAACCTCTTCTTAATGTATTCATGATGTAACTGGGATGTATTTTGCACTGTATTCTGGGACATGGAGGGAAATTTCAAAAGTTCATGTCACCCCTTTCTCGCTGTTCAATCTCGCCTTGAACCTGTTGCGCAATAAACTCGGATCTCCTGGAACTTGCTCCTGTCTCCGGCTGAGCTCATTTTCTTCCGCAGGGACCCGCGGACTTAGTCCGACGAGCTGGGTGGCAGAGTAACCCTGCACCCAGATTTTACCGTAACAGTTCTCAGAACCACCACCAACACCCGTTTTAACAGTGTTTCCTCCTCTCACAGGGGGGTAACTCTGCAGATCTCCGGTGCAAGACCTCTGGTGAAAGGAAGACCACCCTGCTCTCCTCTGATGTGCAGCTGCCTCGACTGCACCCCCATCTCTGCTGGGCAAGAAACCGCTTTGCTTGATGCTGCTGAAGGTGACGCTGGGAAGGAGTCAAGAGGGAGCCGTCCTGTCTCCCTGTCTACTCATGAGTAAGCCCTCTGTGGCCAGTGGGGTCTGACTCCTTAGTAAGTGGGCTCAGGATTGGAGCTAGGATTTTGTTTGCCTGCAAAAATGCTTTAACTTTTTCTTTTTAATAAATGCAAGCATTGGAAACCTTTGTGTAGGTCTATGTTCTGAAAAGGTGTGCTGGGTCTTGTTTTCTGTTGGACTCTATGATGTGCGAAACACATAAATACAAAAACACAGAGAGGCCAAGACAGGACATGTGGTTAGGATTCCATGGAGACATGAGATTCCTCCATGTGTGTAATATCCCGAAACAGGGCTGGGGAAGGTCTGAGCTCCTGCCAAATTCCTTTGCTGTTCTGATAGTGGCTAACCAGATGCCCACAGACAGGACCACAGCCCAAGAGTGCTTCTCCTTCCCACAGTCTCCTGCCATGACAATGGAGGGAGAACAAAGGCATTGTGATGTGCAGCCAGAGGTATCTTCCACATTGTCTGTATAACCCCCCAGGATCCCCATCCCTGTCTTATAGAATTATGGATTTGTACAGTTGGAAGGGACTGTGAGGGTCAGCAAGTCGGGTGCCCTGCAATGCAAGAATCTCAGCTGAAGCATCCATGTCAGATGGCCATCCAACCTCTGCTTAAAATCTCCAAGGAAGGAGAGACCACAACCCCCTGAGATAAACTGTTCCACTGTCAAGTAGTTCCCACTGTCAGAAAGTTTTTCCGAATGTTTAGTCAGAATCTCCTTTCTTATAAGTTGAAGACATTGGCCCAGGTCCCACCTTCCGGAGGAGCAGAAAACAAGCTTGATTCATCTTTGGTGTGAAAGCCCTTGAGATATTTGATGGTGGCTATCATATCTTCTTAAGGAAAGGTGGGTTGGAAGCTGCCCAAACCTTGTGATCATCCCTGGACAGGTGAGGCCCCTCAGGTGAGTTCTTCCACCCCATCATCTGGGTGACACAAAACTCTCAAGATTTGATGCATCTTATGCTCTCCTCCCCCCTCCTTTCTTGCTTCCATTCCATCATACCTCAATACCTCAAGGAGCCCCTCTCCCCACGTTAACCTACGGAGACCCTGCAATCATCATCTGAGACCATTCTTTGTGTTCCTCCTCCACAAGATGTCCAGTGGGTGGCAACAGAAGAATAGGCCTTTTCTAAGACTGAATGATGTCCCTAGTGTGGTTTTTTGGGGGGATATTGTTTGTTTGTTTGTTTGTTTGTGATGCATTTTGCATTTTTTATCTTGTACTGTATTTTTATGTTTTGAACTGCCCCAAAATCTACGATTGAAGGGTGGTATACAAATCGGTATCAGAATCAGAATCATGCCACTATGGACTAAAATACAATATTTAATGTAAGCCAATACCTTTACTGGACTGACCACAGGTCACCAAAAAATAAGCAAGCTTTTGAATTCCGCAGAATGCTTCTTTGGGCTGGATAATAAGCAAATGAGGCAGTGGCTTGGGGTGTATGTGAAAATCTGGTCTAGGTTTAAAAGGAAGAAGAATGGTCAGATTACTTGATACAGATGTTGCTTGGATTACAACTCTGGACCCCACCCCTGACCATTGGCCACTGGTGGGAGTTGCATCTGGAAGG